ACCACACCAGAACTACTGAATATATGTGAGTATGTGTTCGCGTATGTATATGTGAAACCCTATACAGGTTTGCTAATGACACTTAACAACAACATATATGTGTATGTATATATGTGTGTGTGTGTGTGTATGTGTATGTGTAAACACACATACGTATGGTGGTGGCATACTATGGAGTTGGTTCTGACTCATAGCGACCCTGTATAGGGTTTCTGAGGCTGTAAATCTGTATAAGAGCAGAAAGCCTCATCTTTCTCCTGCAGAACAGCTCGTAGTTCTGAACTGCTGACCTTGAGGTTAGCAGCCCGACTTGTAACTACTATGCTACTAGAGCTCCATATATATATATATATCAATTAAAAAAGCAAAACACTTCATTTACAAAATCAGACTCACTGGCCTTAGCTTGTCCACCTCTGTTATAACTCTTCTCTACATTAAAACTTCCATTCCTGGCCAGAAGAACTAGATGGTGCCCAGCTACCATGACCAATTGTTCTGCTTGGGCCCCCAGAAGGTCCTGGTAAGAATGAGAGAAAAGTGTAGAACAAAATTCTAAATCATAAAAAAGACCAGAGACTTACAGGTCTGATAGAGGCCAGTGAAACTCTCCACATGGTGGCCTTTAGATACCCTTCAAGCCCATACCTGAACTCCACCCACCTTCTAGCCAAACAAGACACACATGAGGAAAGTTGTCCTCAGACTAATCAACCGTCCAGCTCAGAAGGAGAAGGAGAGGCAGGAAGGATGGGAAATGCGGAACACAGGGAGAAAGTGGAACAAGTGCTGCCGCATTGAGGGAATAGCAGCCAATGTTACAAACTAAATGTACGCACATTGTTGGATGGAAAGCTAATTTCTTCTGTCAACCTCCACTCAGATCACAATAAAATAAATACATAAAACTTCCAGTCCTGTATTCCATCTCGGAGTCAGTCAGCTAAACTGCTAAGGACAATGGGTCAAGGCAGTGTCGACCGGAGGATTGTTCTGTACCATAGGAGTAGATGAAGCACTTCAGGTGTTCCATGGCATTCTTCATTTTAATAATTATGTATTTAAATTAATGTGTATTGTAAGGTATATAACTGGCCCATAAAACTTGTAATTTAGTTTGTGGGAAAACCCCATTATTTTTTTATTCTATTTTCCATCAACTTTTTGAAGCCCCTTCACATAATCAACAATACTGAGTATCTACAAGTGTCTACCACGTTCTCAGGGAGCATGATGATCATACGATAAGCACTGATCTGCGAACCACAAGATCCGTAGTGTGAGCCTGTCAGCCACTCCGTAGAAGAAAGATGAGGCTTTCTGCTCCTGCAAGATTTAAACTCTTGGAAACCCTATACAGGGTAACTATGAGTTGGAACCAACTCAATGGTATTTACAACAGCAACAACCGTGTTCTAGGAATCTGGTGGGGTACTGTAAGACAAGCACTAGACTGTTAACCAAAAGGTTGGCAGTTCAAACCCACCAACTGCTCCTTGGAAACCCTATATAGGGTAGCTATGAGTCAGAACTGACTCCACAGCACTTAACAATAACAATCATTTTCTAGGCACTGTTCTAGGTGCTAGGGATACAAACGGGAATCCCTGCTCTGATGGAGCTCCCATTCCAGCAGGGGGAGACAGACAGTAAACAATATGGCTCTAAGTGATTTAATATAGTGTGTTGGAAGTTGTGATCCATACATAGGGTTTTCACTTATTTCATTAATTCATCATTTTATTTTGTTACACATAAGATCACCATGAGTCAGAGACGACTCAACAGGCGAAGCATTCAACAGCAACTAACATTAAGCTCAAACCAGCTGCTGTTGCATTCACTCCCATTCACAGCAACCTCATATGTGTCAGAGCAGAGCTCCATGGAGTTTTCAGTGGCTGATTTGGAGGAAAGTACAAAATCACCAAGTCATTCTTCTTTCAAGGAGCCATGGAGTGAACTTGAGCCCCCAACCCTTCAGTTAGCAGTTCAGGGCATTAACCATTTATTTATACCACCCAGGGGGAAAAGAAATGACAGGGGTAAGAGCTAGTCTCAATTTATTTTGTTTTATTTTTTTAAGAGGTATTAAAAAATAGTTACTTTGCTGGTTCCCAGCTCTGACACCATAAACTCTGATGGTTGTGAAATGGAATCTCACAAGTAGCCTGTCCCGTCTGAAATAGCGTGACAGAGCAGCTGTCCATGAGAAGGAGATGTCTTAGCAGAGATTTGCAAGGACAGGAAGTCAAGCAGAGTTCTGGGGAAGAGGGTCCCAGGCAGCACAAAGGCCCTAAGGGGAAGGGGTATGTGGAGGTCAGATTGGGTAAAAACAGTAGGTAGATTCGCTTTCAACTGAAAAAAAAAAAAAAAAAAAGGACCAGATTTGGGATAATACAGGTGGTATGTACATGTGACAAAAATCAAAGTGATGCATATGATTACTCAGGCTAGCCAAATGCAAAGTTTATGGGTTGTCGTTCCCAGGTGTCATATGTGTGATTGTAGGGGGCCTTCTTGACCCAAGAATGAATGTCCTTGGCAAGCGAAAGGCTGTCAAGCTCGATTTCCCTGTGTGTGGAGAGAAAGCTGGGGGGTATTCAGCCATCGACTGCTCCCCTCCTGTCAGGGAGTCAGTGCATTTCTGGAGCACACTGGGATCTGGCACGATGACACCTTCTCTCCTGGTCTCCAGATCATGAGCTCCGGTTCTGTGCTCCTCAGGACTCCCTTCATGAAAGCCCCTGAGGACATGGCACATGGATGCTGTCCCTGAGCCTGAGACTCAGTCTATAATCTGCTTTGACCCCATGCCCTCACATATTAGTGAGCTTTAAATAGCCCCTGAACCGACTAAACAGGTTGAGTCTGGAGGACTCCCTGACACTACTGTCCTGCGATACACTTTAAATCTTGAACTGAAGTAGGCCCTGAGCTTGCCTTGTAGCTAAATAGCAGACTGGCTCACAGACTGAAGCAGGTCACTGTGAATACTGTACACCCTAAAAACAGTCATCTAGATGAAACCACACATGTCAACAATTACTTCAGAATCAAGATGAGAATTTAAGTTGTCAGGGAACTAATGGAAACAAAGCAATCAGAACAGAAATCATGAGAACATTCACACATTGTGAAGAATGTAATCAGTGTCACTGAACAACTTGTGTAGAAACTGTTGAATGGAAACCTAAACTTCTGTGTAACTTTCTTTGAAGATACCATTAAATTGTGTTTACTACTACTAATGGAGTCCAGGTGTGGCACTGTGGGTTAATGTGCTTGGACTGCAAAGTTGGTTTCAACCGCAGGTCAGCGGTTCAAGCTCACCAGCTGCTCCTCAGAAACCCTATACAAGGTTGTTATGGATTGGAACCAACATGACGGCACATAACAACAACAACTAATAATAATAAATAAACAGCACCTGAACCCAGCTTCCCTCATAACCCTGTGGTGTTTGGACCATCAGGGCCATAGTGAGGAGAGCCGGGTCGTTCTGGCAGCCTCTCCCAGCTGCAGTGGGCATAGGGCAGCGCTTCAGGCCATCCTTACCATTCCAACTACAGGCAGCAGTGGGAGGCTTTCTGCTCTGTCCTCCAAGGTAGCTATGAGTTGGAGTCAGCTCAGGGCAGTGGGCTGGTTGGTTTTATGAATCACAATTCTACTTTGACACACTTCAGGAAACAAAAGAAAATCAACAAACATCTTAACTGATGCTTCCAACACCTCTGATAAGTCCAGGTGAGTAAGCTGAGGCTCATAGGGAGCAGTGGGCTCAAGATCACCTAATTAATAAAAGCTAGAGATCCAAACTCACAATTCCCAATTGCCCTTTCACTTTCGCCTTTTGCTTATCGAAAGTTATCACCTGATGAGCCCAGCGATTACTTGGGGAAAAAGAAACAATAGGCTTGCTGCACAGACCTTTAGACTTGAAAAAAGATGAAAGTGAGTCACTGGGTTTTTGGAGTTAGAGTAGCCTGGGCTCCCCAGTTCCAGAGTCCACAGGACAACCTGAGTCATTACCCGGCTCTCTCCTCTCCACCCTCCTTCCTCTGCGGCATCCTTGAGAGCATAAAACAATATGGGAAAAAACGTACCACGTGAGGTACCAAGTACACAGAAAGTTCTCGATGACTTTTAGTAAGTATCCATTTGTTTCAGGGTAAACAGAGATACACATGTGGCAGAGGCAGAAGATGCCATACATTAATTTGTGGATCCCTCTGTGTTCTCTACATGAGCACTGGTGTTGAAGCAGTTTAAGCATTGGGCTGCTTACCACAAACCTACCAGCTGCTCCATGAAAAAAAGATGAGGTTGTCTGTTTCTATAAAGATTTACAGTCTTGGAAACCCTAAATAGGGTCACTATGAGTGAGAACTGACTTCGCAGGAGTGGGTTCGATTTGGTTTGGGTCTGTCATCCCTTGGAATGTACAAACAGTTAATACATTCAGCAGCTAACTGAAAGATCGGAGGTTCAAGTCCACACAGAGGTGCCTTGGAGGAAGGACCCGGTGAGCTAGTTGTGAAAAGCCAGTCACTGAAAACCTTATGAAACACAGGTCTGCTCTGACATATATGGGGTCACCATGAGCCTATTTAATGGTAACTCCCCCCACCCCCCAGTCTTCCACTAGAAAGTAGAGCAGAAATAACAGCTGACTCATTTCTATATCCCAGCGCCTGATGCAGAGTTGGGTCTCAATAAACTTTGTTGTTGCTGTTAGGTGCTGTGGAGTTGATTTTCACAACCCTATGTGACAGAGTAGAACTGCCTCCACAGGGTTTCCTGCAGAGTGGTTAGTGGAGTTTGAACCACCAACCTTTTAATTGGTACAACCAGGGTTCCTTCAACACACATTAGCTAAAAATGGATTCCTTAGTATCATTTGACCTCCCAAGTAAACAAAGGCAGTAACTGTAGAGATGAAGTGTCTCCTCCAGCAAACATTTCTATACTCTACCTGCTCCTCCCTGGGCTATACTCACCTTGTTAAAGTCAAAGGTCTCAAACATCTGCTCCACGTACTTGCTGGATGTTGGGCTCAGGTTCTTGAGGCCAAAGAACTGGCGGAACTCATAGAGGGTAAGCTGGCCTGAGGGGCATTCGGTCATGAACTTTTTGTACCATTGGTGACACTCGGTGCTGCTCAGCTCCTCCACCGTCTTCCCCTCCATCACATTGCCCATCACCCAGACACTGCAGAGGCAGACGCCCAAGAAGCACAGGCCCTGCTCCCAGTTGCTCCCTGCAAAACGGTGTCTTGGCCTCTTATGATTTAGGACTAAACAAAGAAGAGTCTACAGAATCAGATTATGCAGAGTAATGTCTGAAGAAGGTGAGCAGAGAGGGGAAGGCAATGAAGGGCTGTATAAATTTACACCCAAATCCAGGGGATGTCAGAGAACTGATGTTAAAAGTCTCCACTAAATCTTTGACTACCAATGGGGGCTGTCCCCTGGGGGAGAGGAGTAAAAATAGACCAAAGCTTAAAGGAGAAGTAGGATTATGGCCTGTAGCTGGTGAGAGGATTTTCTACCCAGTTTGCAATCTCCTAATCCTTTCTCTTTTTTTCCTTTTAGTATGGGTACCTTTTCTAAAGCTTTTACAATAATGGTCTTATGCAATATTTGTCCTTTTTTGACTAATTTCACACAACATAATGTCATCAAGGTTCATCCATATTATGCAGTGATTTAAAGCTTCACTGCTATTCTTCAGGATAGCATAGTGTTCCATTGTGTATATGTACCTAAATTTGTTTATCCATTCTTCCATTGATGGGCACCTAGGCTGTCTCCATTGTTTTGCTATTGTAAATAGTGCTGCTATGAACATTGGTGTGCATATATCTACTCATGTTATGGCTCATATTTCTTGTGGATATATTCCAAGTAGAGGAACTGTTGGACCATCATGTATTTCTATTTCCACCTTTCTGAGGAAGTACCATACTGTTTTCCAGAGTGGTTGGACCATTTTACATTCCCACAAGCAATGTAGGAGGATTCCAGTCTCTCCACATCCTCGCCAGCATTTACTGTCCTCTGCTTTTTTGAACTTTGCTATTATTGCTGGTGTGAGATGATATCTCATTGTTGTTTTGATTTGCATCTCTCTAGTGGCTTGTGATCGTGAACATTTCTTCATATGTTTGTTGGCTGCCTGGATCTCTTCCTTGATGAAGTGTCTGTTCATGTCCTATGCCCATTTGTTAATTGGGTTATTTGTCTTTTTCTTGTTGTGGTGATGTAGTTTGCTATAAAGTTTAGAGAGTAGTCCCTTGTTTGATATGTCATTGCAAAAGATTTTTTCCTGTTCTGTAGGATCCCATTTTACTCTTTTGGTGAAATCTTTTGATGCACATAAGTTTCTAATTTTTAGTATGTCCCAATCATCTATTTTGTCTTTTGTTTGTGCAATTCTCACAATGTTTGATAGTCTGTAAATGCCCTGTGTTGGTGGTGGTGGTGTGCCATGGAGTCGGTTCCGACTCATAGCAACCCTGTATAGGGTTTCTGAGGCAAAAAATCTTTACAGGAGCAAAAAGTCTTATCTTTCTCCTGTGGAATAGCTAGTAGTTTCAAACTGCTGACCTTGAGGTTAGCAGCCTGACTTGTACCAACTATGCTACCAGAGCTCCTTTTGCCCTGTATTAGAGCCCTTAAATTTGTCCCTATTTTTTCATTGATGACCTTTATAATTCTGGGATTCACAAGTAGGTCTTTAATCCATGTTGAGCTGGGTTTTGTACATGGTGTGAGATAAAGGTCTTATTTCCTTCTCCTAATCCTTTCTTAAATAGCCCTGGTGTCAAAGTGGTTAGGTGCCTGGCTGTTAAGTGAAAGGTTTGCAGTTTCAACCCACCAGCTGTTCTGCAGAAGAACTGTGTGGCAGTTGGCTTACGTGAAGCTTGCAGCCTTAGAAACTCTATGGGACAGTTCTGCTCTGTCCTATAGGGTCACTGTAGGTTGAATTGACTTGATGGCAGTGGGTTTCTGGGTAAGTCCTCCTTGCCGAGACAGAGTGGGTAGCTGGCCAGCAGTTGCTCCGTTCCTAAAACCTCCACTCCCTCTTCTGCTGGTTTCTGGTTTTGAGCAGTTCACAAGGCTTTGTTTCCTTCCCTTGGACATGGATTTGAGGTCTTTGAGACAGAGTGAGCCCTGGTGTGGTACCATAGGATAAGCACTGAACTGGTAGCCAAAAGGTTGGCAGTTCAAACCCACTAGCCACTCTCAGAAACCCTACACAGGGTCACTATGAGTCAGGACCAGTTTGACAGCGTATAACAACAACGAGATAGAGTTGCTTCCTCTTCTAAGACCAGGTCACCTGTGGACTCCTGGTAGGCCTGTTGTGTACAATTATCCAGGTTGCACACCCAACTTGGCCATTGTAACTGAGGAGGTGCCAATCACACTAATAAATGGGAGTGCCTGTGTGGGTGCAGAATTTCTGGGCTTCCAAGATAAGTCGTGAACAGCTGGGGTATCTCCCTCCTACATAAACTCTCACAGTACACATAGCCACGTATACACACACACACACACACACACACACACACACACACACACACACACTGGCCCTGTCCTTACCACATTTTAATGTCCCTTAAGGTTGTAGCTCTCCCATTCTGGGAGGCTTGAATTCAACTCCCCCATCTGACTCTGGTGGTACTGGAGGATAGGCATTGGACCACTAACTGTAAGATCATCAGTTCAAATGCACTCAGTTGTGCCTCGGGACAAAGATGAAGCTGTTTGCTTCTATAAAACTTTACAGTCTTAGAAGCATTATAGAGGATTGCTGTGAATTGGACTTGACTTGAGGGCAGTGGGTTTGTTACTGCTTTTCATCAGACTCTGAGGGGGGAGTGGGGGACAAGCACTGAGTGTGTCCCCTGGTCCCCTGAATGTATGAAAGGAAGTGTGGGTGTGACTGTTACCTGTTGGTCCCAGAGAGCTCCCAGGCCTAACCAGCAATAACTTTCTCTGATCCCTAGTGGGATGTCTACTCTTGGACCATAGATGTTAAAGAAGTTTCATTTAAATGGGCATTCAGGAGCATTTCAACTGAGGAAATCCAGAACTAGCACCTTTCCACCTGCCCCTTTGTCGTATTTCCCTTCCTTATGTAAGTGAGTCGGAAGAAACCCCACCACATTCCTGCTGTTCCCAAGCCGTGCAAAAATACATTAACATCAAAGTGTCTTTATACTAGAGAAGGGGGTATCTTTTTCCAATTCATAGAAGGACACAGTGAAGGAATGAATTGTATCCTCCCCCCTCAAAAAATAAGTGTCGGCTTGTCAGTTTGATAATTAGGTGCTGATGTAATTTGGTAGTTATGTAATGATATAATCATCTGCCATGATGGGATAGGATGGGATGGGATGGGATTGGGGGGTGTGGTGTGAAAAGAGTTTCCCTGGGGCATGACCTGCAGCATCTCTTATCTTATAAGAGCTAAAAGGAGAGACAGCCAGCAGAGAAGAGGGACCTCAGTACCACCTGGAAAGAAGAGCCTGGATTCATTTTGAAGAAATGGATGATCGGGGTAGCTCTGAGCCCTGAAACAAGGAGGCAGAGGCTGAGAAACCTGTAGCTCTGGGTTCAGCCGCAGCATCCTCATTAGTGGAAGTGGGGGGTAGGAGGTGGGGAGTGGGGTGGGATACAGAGCCCATGGGGTAGGTTGGGAGTTCCTGGCCTTTGGCATCTCACTTTAATCCTGTTTTGAACATGTCAGAATGAATAAGTCGGTTTTTGCTAATTTGCAGTTTCAGGAATCTGATGATGTTGATGACAATTATAGAAAAGGTTCAGGTCCTTCAGCTAAGATAATCCGATCATATCCCTGAGAAGCTAAAAGTAAGAAATGATCAGAAAAGAATTCACAAAAAGATAGTGAGGTCTCCAAAGACAACGATGTGAAGACCAGGAAGGATGACTCTCACTCAGCAGAGGATAGTGAAGATGAAAAGGAAGAGCAAAAATTGTATGCCAGCACCAGCAGGAAGAGAAACTCATGGAAGATGTGGGCTGGAAGAGGACAAAGTACCATTCCAAGAAACAGATTCCAGCAGTGATCAAGATTTCCTAATGGCAGATCATGAAAACAGTGATGATGGCAGTTCAAGAAAGAACTTTAAAAAGATGGTTAAGAAGTTCAAACCTGAAAGAGAATAAAATGCCCAAACTCAAGCTAAAGGCAACAGTGATGCCAAGTCCTGTGAATAGCAAAGGGAAAGTGGGTGGTCCCAAAGCTCCAAAGACAAGGAAGGAAAAGACTCCATCCCCCAAAGAAGATGACAAGGAACCAGAAAACCCTGCAGAGAAGAAAACATCTGCTAGCCCTCCATCATATTTGGGGATGAAGCATCCAAGGATGAAGCCTAGCCGGGGGATGATTAACAGTGCTGATGGTTTGGGGAGAGATTTTATTTAAATAAATAAAAGAGAGAGAGAACCTGATTAAGATAGAACATAGTTTTGGCTATAACTTTCCATTTGTTGAAAATAACATTTTCTCTTCTTTGTCGTCTTTATTGTATAAGAAAACCATCTTGGTATTGGTATTCTCTTTGCCAGACCCCTTGCCTAATCCCCAATGAAAGCCATGTCAGATGAATCACTGGATTACTGCTGCTTCTTTTAATTTGAATGGAAGGTAAGCCACGGTTGTAAAGCAATAAGATTTTAAATATTAACTATCAAAGTTTTGCTTTCACAAAATGATAGTAAGTAATCAAACAGTGTAGAAAGGTTTTGCCAAAAAGCAAACAAACCCATTGCTGACAGTTGATTCTGACTCACAGGGACTCCATAGGGCCGAATAGAACTGCTCTATAGCATTTCTGAGACGGTAAATCTTTACTGGAGCACAGAGCCTCATCTTTCTCCCCTGCAGCTGCTGGTGGTTTGGAGCCACCTTCCTTGAGGTTAGCATTCCAACATTTAACCCACTGCACCAAGGGTTTTAGTTTAGAATAATTGTCTTGCTTTGTTTTTTCCCTACATGCTCTTAAAAAAAAAAAAATCAATTGTCCTCTAATAAGAACATTTATTATTTATATATAGGAGAGTATCAGTGTCTTTAATAAACAATCATAACTTAAAACTTTCACTGATAAGACAGGTAGGAGATAAAGGCAAATTCTGAGTTGCTACTAAAAGTGTTCATGTATTTCATCT